TCACGCCTCTCACATATTGTAGACCACTAATCATCGACTGCTCCTCAGGCGCCCTTTCAGAAAATGTTCATAGCAACAAGATGAGTTTTACATGAACAAGATATTAAAGCTACCTCACTGTTGAGGTCATAAAAGGTGCTTAATGCTGTTAAACTGCGTCTTAATCTATCCGGTATCTAATGCAAGAAGGAAGGAACGTAAAAATGTTGAAGTAAGAAAGAAAGAACAGAGGTAGTAACGTGGAGGCAGCTTAGCATTTGGAGAGACACATTCTAGTCAGTAGACCCAGCAGAGCATCAAAGAGAACAGCGACTCATCTTAGCCAGGTCTGATCTGGGAACAGGACAGTCAAGCACAGCTCTGCCTGCAGTCTGAACATGACTCGTGGAATGGTGAATATTTCATGGAAGGCATCTCAGAGCTGACAGTGGTTCTGGCCACAGGGCAGCTCTGATTGACATAAGAAAGTCTGCATAGAGGGGTGTTTGTAGGGGCGTCGGTTTTCATTCAGATCAGTGTGTATCATGTATGGACACACATATGAAAACCATACGAAGCAGAGTTGACACATTCATAGCCCTGGTCATCTTATGCACCGTGTCAGAGGAGTTACTCTTTTTAGTCTATAAGGCAGCTGGGACGTTGAGCAGTAACCTAATCTAAGAAATTCCAGAGCCTCTCTTAAAAAACATTCATCCTCCTGAGAGCGGAACACGCAGTCCGGTTTAAATGTTGTACAACACAATGTGCCATATTGATCTGATTAATAAGGTGCTCGGCTATGTGCCAGTTTCATTGTCATCCAAACATTATCATTTCTGTTAAACAAATTGCTTACATAACTGCACCGCATTAGGCGAACCCATTAAATGCATTGGGGGTCTTCCAATAGTTTTTAGAGGGCAGCTTTCAGCGTCTGCAGCACTGTGACAGCCTCTCAGGAGAGGCCGGATCATGTAGTCTTATTATAGAGGAGGCAAATCTAGTGTACCAAAACACTAAAGCCCTACTTTCTCAAGGTTATTTTCAAAGATAGCTCATGTCTTGGTACAGTATGTGGGTTGGCCTTCAAGAAAGCCCTGCCACTAGAGACATGGTGTAACCCTATGCAGTAGAAGCGAAAGGGGCTTCAGAGGCCACGGAGAGACATGGGTGCAACTAATTTAAACCCCTGGGACGGCTGGAAGGGCGCCGGCTTTTGTCCAAGCAGAATAAAGTCAGGTCACTTTTGTTCTGTGTGTGTTGTGCGTCACACACAGCTAACGCTCTGTCAACTTGTGTGTCAGCATTATAACACTTAAAAGGTAATGAGATTTATGCTTTCTGCATCGTAAAATGTGACAACCTGAAAAACAATGGTGCCCCCGTTCTGCCAAAGAGCGAAAAACAGACTTACATCGTATCAGGATCGCCACATTTCACGGTGAAATATGATTATGGACTCCAGAGACGCATGTCCCTTCTGTCAGTGATGTTGTTGCCGTCACACAATATATCGCTCTACAGCGAGCTTACCGGCTCCTCTTTCGCTCGCAGCCAAGAGCACCACTTTTACATCTCGCTGAATTCAAAGATATGAATCTCTGCCAACACTCTCATAATAAGGCTGTTCTTATTTACTCAATTCAGTAGAATGCATCGGCAATGTTTCTTAATAAAAACAGACATTCTTTATTTTTAAACAAATTGCTCCGTGATAGTGAGTGTGTGCAGACCGCTGCAGCATTGCACAGTATCCCTTCCAGGTGGGAATTTAGGCATCACTAACATTGATTTGTATTATTTTATAGTGCAGTATAATGAGCGACCTTCAGTCAAGACCTGTCACCATGCGTTAAAGGATGCAGGCCAGCTAGGAAACAGGCAAATTGTGTAAACGGATAGCTTTTGTTCATCTGGGTTCCTTCATCGCATGTGGTCGGTGTGATCTAATGTTAGTTCAGTTGTGTTTGTTTCATACGTTCATGCATAAGAAACTGTTTTGAGGGGAAAACAGAGATAGAGGGTAGCAACTCCGAATAAGAGGCACAATGTAAGGATGCAGTGGCATCAAAAGGATGAATGAAAATGAATAGTCGCCCATCATAATTGTGGCCTGGATAAAGGTGTATGTATTTACACTCCATCAAAACAAATCCAACTTATTGAAAGCATGATTTGGTGCGACAGAGCTTCCTTTAAGAGAAGGAAATTCACCCCAAAACGTGTGAATAGATTAAAACAGATGGTTCCAAAAAATGCGGAGGAATCTGTTATATAACATTACATAAAGAAAAAAAAGCTTACTATACAGCATTTAGATGACAGCAGGGCAGCCCTTAACATCGACGATCTAGCCTGAGGCCGAGATCAGGAGACATCCAGATGGCAAGTCTCTCACTCTCTCCCTGCTCTTCCGTGTTTGAGTCATGACTGCTCATACTTTCAGTTTCTGTGTTCTCTATCCATCACTCTTTTATATATTCTAATATATTCTTCTCATTGAAAAAATGAGAAAACAAAAAAGAAATACATGTTTTAGAAAAAGCAGTAAGACACATATGGATCATATTTGTGTATATGTTACTATGTTCAGTAACATACAGTATACACAAATATGATCCATATACAGTAACATATACAGTACATTTTACCAAACTGGATGAAGTGACATTGGAGCGTGCACTCAGATCAGAGCTCAGTGCTCAATTCCATATTGGGTAAATCAAAAGTTTGAGTTAAATATATATATTCCGAGTACTTTTAGAAAACTGATTATAATTTAGATGCATTAAGACTTGGCATCAGTCGGGTCAGTTAGAGCATTGTTTCAGAAGTGGGTGCAGACGTTGCTACTGTTATTTTTAAATTTTTTTCCTTCTTAAATACGTTGACGTTGCGGTGAAAATCCACATGCGAGAGTAGTGAAACAGGAAAAGCAAAAGAAGATGGATGATGAATCAGTTTACGGACAGAGACGATGGAAAGGCGGGAAGAAGCAGTTTGGAGAGGAGGGGTTACCCCAGGTGCTCATGCGCCAGATGGAGAAACAGCTGAATCAAGACTGGGAAAATAGATTTGTCATCAACTCCAGCATCTGAATCTTCATTAAAATCCTTCCCAAAGTGAGACAAAGTACGGGACAATGCTAAATGTAATGCTGACAACAGCTTGAGGAAGGACAGATACAAATTCAATGTGGTTTCACGGCAGACTGACTCGACTCTGAAATCCAAAGCTTAATAGATTAAATTACAGAATTATTTGCATGCCAACCTTTCTATTAATGACTGATTTCGAAGTGTATGAATTATACAACCATAGTGTATGCGTATGCGGTAATACGAGGAGAAAGAGATAAGTGCACTACATTATCTTCATTAGGGAAGTTAAAATAATATTCACTGAACGCATCAGATAATGAATTACAGTATAATAATGCAGTATCATGAGGGGGATTTGTAACACCACATTCCCTCTTGCCTGTAACAGAATGCAGACGACGACGCTTAAGAGGTAGTAGACAATAAGACAATAAGAGATTTTAAATTGGATCATACTAAATTTGTATTCCAACAACCTAAGTAAACCTCTTATTCAAATTGGGCTTCACTTGTAAAAACATGATTCATTGATACTACTTTCACAGATAGTTAATCTGAGCCTCTTGTTCCCAGGGTGCTCACTGTGATTATTATTACCACAAAAGGGATGCATACGGTTTGTAACACAAGCACTGTTAAATATATTATTACTCATGTAAGGTTACCTTTGACCAGAGAGAAACCGATTTTTAACAGTACAGTCGTTAACGCAGAGTTGGCAAAAGCAGCCAATAAGGCATGGAGAGTTAAACTTAATACTATTTATCTGCACGGTTTAAATCCTTTTACTGCTTTTTGGCTAAATTGGTGCACTATGTCATATTGTTAAACCACTGTTACATAACATGAGTTTACAATCCACATATTAATGATCATGAAGAAGATTAAGTGACCGATCCTTTAACTCAGCCATGAACATACTGAATACTGAACATACTACATTTTCATCCAACAACAAAACACTAATGTAATTATGCACACGTCTAATTGAAAATTCTCCTTCCTACATCAAAACACACCTGCTGTAATCTTTATTTGCTAAACGTGATCCTTTACCACTGACGACCACTTTGTCTCATTTTCCTCTATTTGCATATCTACAGCAATGTATTAGTATCTGAGCTATCTGGTGGGATTTCTGAATGATTTGTATGCGTGATGTTATTATTAATGCATCTTCAATGCACTCAAATCTCTACCTTGAGTTTTGCCACTATTGCTTTACAAATAGACCACTCATTCAAACTTTTTTGACAAGTACTGACACATTTAAATGATGTGTTAAATGATGCTGCATTATGTATTGTGCAATGATGACCTCTTCCAAAACATGAAGAGCCCAGATCTCTCGTGTCCTTTGGCGTCTCTTTAGGTAAAATGATACGCAACTGGCCACTGGGAAATCAGTTCACTTGGGCTGTCAACAATGGACGGTAATTACACACGACCTGCAAGGTGTGAGGTGGCACAGTCTGAGTGCATGAGTGAGTGAGGGAGGGAGTGAGTGCTTGAGAGAGGGAGGGAGGGAGAAAGAGACAGAGAGAAAGAGGGGAAATTAGAAATAGATGCTAGAGGCCAAAAAATGTGTTATAAACCATAAATTGTCATATCACACTGCTCAATGGCATGGCACTAAATATTAAAGCTTTGCATATGCATACACAAATTTAGGAGAAATTCAAGGAAACCCCCGAAATAAAAAAATAAAGAAACACAGTAGGCAACGATTACAACACACACAAATTACGGAAATCGGTGTTTAAAACATGGGTACAAGTTTCCTTATTTAGATCTGTTGATTTACCAATGCATTAGCCACATATATTGTTAAAATATTATACAATTAGAAAATCCTCAAAAACAGGACCAGAGAAAACATAATGCATTCATTTTAATTAGTATTCACAAAGCTTTATTTTAGCCAAAGCCAAAACAGGCATGTTTGAGAAATATAGTATAAATGAGTGGAATAGAATATATTCTCCACCAAGATATTTGACCACATGCATGTATGCAGTTTCATTAAATGGTATTGTAAATCCCTCCATGAAGTTAGAAATGTTCTGGAACCAAGGTTCTCCCCTAAACTTTAATAAGTTCCCAGTGCTGAAGTAAAATAATACTTAACAAGAAGTGACAGCTGATTGCTTTTATTTTTATCTAACAATAAAGATCAATCAACTGAAATATTGGATAAAATGTACCCTGAAACCTGTAGCGCTGCTCTGACTGTGTTCGTACAATTCTCATTCACTATGTTCCATAAATCTGGCGTTATTTTGCATCATGCACACCGATTTTTGGCACAAAGGAGGCACATATTAGTGAATGAGGCCCGAGTTAACTAGAGCCCAAGAAACATTCACTCCAGGGGATACTTGTTCTGCCACTTGTTGGTGTGGTTGTTTTTAATTATAGGTTTTATTTGACCAATCTGTATCTGTTGCATCCAAATCCATCCTACCAAAGCTCACATCTTCGAAGGAGACTGGGGTGAATATATATTTCCGCCAATGTGATTCGTTTTCTTTTTCTTCTTTACCAGGACAGTTTACCTGATAACTAAATACCGTCCCTGAAAGTCGGTCCCAGTCTGGCCGTTGCCATGTCAGGTCCTAAGCCGCCCCACTCACAAACCTCTCTCTCATTCTATTGCATTCTAGATTGCCGTGGGAGATTAGCTGACCTGGGGACCACGGCTAGTATTGCTCACCTTGACCATGCCCTCTCTGTCCTGCAGGGTCCCAATCAGAACTGGCGGCAAACTGCCGTTCCCCGGCAACCACACTTGGAGGTCACGGTTCCCTGAAAGATCTTCTTGTGACAAATAGCCGCAGGAGGGTTGACCCAGAGAGAGAAGATGAGACGGTCTGCATAACGGAGAGAAAAAGAGAGATAGAAAAGGTACAGTTGCGGAACAGGAAAGGCCGAGCGAATGGGGAGCCCCGGGCAGGGGGGCTCTCCTCCAGGCAGCAAAATGCCACGAGAGAAGCATCGTCATAATATTGGAATATCCCACTGAGAAGTTAGACTCATACCTTTTATCTTTTCAATTATTACAATCATTCAATAGCAGTTTATGATGGGAGATTTTGCCATCGGAAGTTTTGACTTAAAGCAAACAGGCGTATCATTTAAATAACATCAACCACCGTTGAGTATCTTTCCAAGGTCCAACCCCCAGAATATCTTTGATCATTTATGCATCACATGTTCACTCTTGAGAATACTTTCTGATTACCGTCTCAGTGTATTCCTTACCTTGAGTTCTCCCTTCAAAACTTTAGAAAACACGTGAGAGAGAAAGACGGGGAAGGGGGCGAGAGAGAGAGATATCATGTTTTAAACATGAGGGGGTTTTGTTGCCTGTGTTTTGCTTTCAGCCATAATTAAATTCTTAATTAGCAAGCCTTCTGGAAGAAATACATGAAGATGGAATTCAATTTAGAGACCTAACTCGTTTGGCCAACGGTAAGGGAGAAAATAGGCAGGAAGGAGGCAAACCCAGCAGCGACAAATGAGCACACTCTTTTATCTTTTACCCGCTTTGTTAATGCAGCTTCTGCAAATATATCTATAATATCCCGATGAGAATCTCAGTGAAACAATGCCGCCTGTATCTACGCTAGCCCCGAGAGGGATGGGGGATGTCATCATCTATTATTTATTGCACAAACTGAGGATATGACATTACAGAAGTGACTGGATTGTTATTAATTCGACCAACATTATAGAACCAATCCTAAATATTTTACTAGTTGTTCTCAGTCTTATTCTGAAATCTGAGCTGACTTGCCGATGAAATGGCGAGTGAGTGAACTTGAATGGGAGTCACAAAGAGCAGTGTTGGTTGGAGTTTATTCTATGAGGGTTAACTATGAAGAAGATTTCAACAATGTCGACGAGGCCTTCCACAAAATAGGGTGCATTTTGAAAAAAACCTGCACCCTAGTTTCCATTCTAGTCAACTTCATCAGAAAACCTGAGGCAAAAAAAAAAAAAGTAGTCAGGTAAAGTGCTGCACTTAAAAAACATTAACCGCATGTACCCTGCCATACACATTTCATGATCCAGATCATCTCCCTCCTTAACTCTCAGACTTAACCATGCCATGCTCGACCGGGAAAGCATCAAACTCTACCCACGGGCTGGCCTTGTACCTTTAACTCATCGAAGTGGGAAATAGAGAATCTAATTTTGAATATGCCTGCTAAAGTCTTTAGTCATGGCTGGTCTCTCCCCTGCACCCGTCTGGCCGACCCCAACAGCTGTGACATGGCTGCGAGGCTCCGAGGAGGAGTGCGGATTTGCTGCAGCCCTTTGAAGTGTCAGCCGTACGTTGGCGGCACACCTCTGCGCAATATTGAACTGTGATGCAATGAAGATAGATGAGGACAGAGACCAGCCGGGGGGGCTAATAGAATATGCTCTGTCCTGCACGGTGCTCCTTGGCTCTGGGTCCTCAATTCACTCCTTGAAATTGAAGTGTTGTGTGTTTGTGTGGGTGGGTGTGAGAGTGTGTGCGGGTGTTGGTGTGAGTGAAAATAAACTAATATACACTAAAGAAACATTACAAATTAGATGCATTTAATTCAAAAGATCTGTGGTCAGAATTTACCACTCCATGAACTGGAGTGTCAACCCCCCAATTGGTCCCCAAAGTGATCCCCCAGTAAACACAGAGCCAAGCTGACAAATTCACTCATGGTCCAACTTTTGCGGACACACAGAGCTGCGCTGACCTGGACTGAGGCAGCCGGCATTTTGGGAGATCGTAGGCCTCGTGGCCGATGGGAGGGGAGCTGAGAGCGAGGGGGGTGATTGTGCAGTCTGATCAGCTCTGCGGAGGCGAGGGTTTAGAGGCTTTAACGTGTACGCAGCTCATGTAATCCCCAAGCCCCCCCCCTCGGGTAAGACGGTGTGCCAGAAGGTTTCTCAGCAGTGATGCCATTCTGACGAAGACTGAGAAAAGATATTTTCCGATTAAGTTGTTTCCGTAGTTAATTCCGGGATGCAGCAGTCTTCTTCTTACTCCCACTAAAGTCCGAGAGAATCAGAGTTCGGATACTTTTAGCTAAATCCTAAAATACCCCTGGAGGCACATTTTGTCCGCCTGCATCTAAACCAATGATTGGGTTTGCTTTGATTCCTCAAACTAAATCAGCAGATTTGTGTGCAGAGTGTGTTAACCACAGTGTGCAGCGCTGCATGACGATCCCACCATCTAATAAACTCATCATGGGCTACTCAAATATCTGGGGTACTGGGTTACCTGTTAACTCTCAATTTCCACAACAAAAACTGCAAACACTGGTCTCCAGAAAAAGAGGAGGAGGATCTGGTGCTTGAGGAAGTTTACTGCGTTGTGTGTTCTCCGCCTCCTCTTTCTCCCGTTTCCACCCTCAGTTCACACCTCCCAGTGGGAGGCTGAGGAAACCACACATCAGCACTGCCGCATTGTGCAGGATAAAAGCAGACGGAAAAAGTATTTTTCGCAGATTGTTGCTGTTTCTTTAGTGTTGAGGCTGTTAAGAGGCTTTTTTCGTACAGAATCAGAGACAATAAAAAGATAATTTGTTACTACAAGCCCTAAACTTGTTCTTAAGAAATATCAGCATTAAGATGGAGGCAAAGCATCGATGCCCATACAAAAGATAAATCTCAATTTTAAAGTCAGTCATCCCTCCAGGCCACATTTATTTTAACATTGATTTGAGTGATAATTGGAGTTGGAGTGGTTTGAGAGTGCTGCTTAAAATCCAGTGAATATTACTTTAGTAAATATGATTGTTAATTGCTGGAGTTGATCATTTCCTCTTCAAAGACATCCATTCTCTGCCTGTAATCATATAACATGTCCTCAAATTCACATTCCCCTTCCGACTAAGCGGTTACCTCATGACATACTGCGATGCACGCAAGCAACAGTCAATCTAACTTGTAATTTATGCAATCAGTTACATGTATGAGCTATTAAGAGGAGGTTGATCTTCTAAGAGGTCCTCAGGGGATATCAATCTCAGGAAATTTAGGAAAAAGGGAACACAGAGAGCGACTGATCTGATCAGATACACACGTCTTTTCATCTTCACAGCTACAGCATCCATAAGTCTGCGATTTTAAAGAAAATGGGTTGAACATGTACTACATTCCCACATTGATATTTGGGAACAAATGAAGAGTCCCGTTAAATCAGATTATTAGATTCAAAGCAAAGCGTAATCAGGATTCTATGTGTAGTGGAGATTCTTAGAGGCGGCGTGTGATGCGTGTGCTCATGTAACTCAAAAGGAGATGAGGGAGGCTGTTTAGCCAATGGAAAAATCACACCTCATCATGTCTTACAAGAGGCTATCAGAGCGGGAATGAATTACATTTCAAGCATCTCGGTCACAGAACTAACAGCCATGGTTCATGGCGTTAACCGTTTCTCTGCTATTCAATAAGAAATACATTTCAGCAAAAGCTTCTTATTTTGTATTTCATGTGTCAGCCAGGAGACGGCCTTGAGACAATCTTACTCATGCCATCACCTGTCATTCCTCAGAGCGCCTGCCTTGTGCGCCGCCAGCTTGACACGCTGCAAGGACTCCACGATATCTCCCTCCATTAGCCTCCCGACTTTAACATAGGGAGCAGCTCCGTGCTGACATGTGGAGCAGATTGAAGGCTTATGTGCTACTTTTGCAACACAAATTTCTGCTGGTTTGAGGGGGTTAATTATATCTAGGTCACGTTTTTTTGATGAGATCTTAGGATTTACACCAACCGTCACAAAAAGGGGGAAAAGATTCATATAAACAAGAACACAAACACTTAAAAAAGCATTTGCATTTATGTGTGCCTGCGCAGACAACACTCACACATAAAGAAACACACACACACACACACTGAATCCACAAATACTACATTCGGAAGCCTCCGGAGCAACTAAGCCACTGGATGCCTGAAAACTGGGTCATCTAAAGCCTTAAATGCAATCTTTTCTTTCGAATTCCATGTAATTCTTTTAATCTTCATCATCTTCTAATGGCATTCCCGTTTGAATTAGGTACTGGAGAATATGTTGAGCAGTGCACCAGATTAGTCTGACCTCAACTGGTGGCCATGCCCCCGACAGCATCGTACACGAGTGACAGAACATTCTAATCCTTGCAAAAATGAGATCCCAATGTTACTGGTGCATCTCAAGATCACGAATTACAGTACTACCGGTGGTAAATAAAGAGGATGTATTGAGTGGCACAGATCTACGTTGTCCGCCAATTATGGCAAATAATCCTACATAGAGGCAAAAGCAGGTTGTCTATGTGTTACTTTCTCCTACATGGGGGATTCTTCAGACACCTCAAACCGATCTTTCCACATGGTCGAACAGAATAATCAGAGGCGACATCATTGGTAAAACCCCTCGTGGCCTCTAAAATCTCACCCCCACCATGGCGAACTAATTAGGTCATTCTTAGTGGGGGTTGTTAATGGAGTGCTTGACAATTCCTTATTACATATACTGATACAGGCTTAATATTGAAGAAAGCTGCATTCATTCTGATCCTGCAAATTCAGATGTGAGACATAAGAAATCCCTAAAATGCTTTAAAATGCAGTGATTTCCTCCCTGTGGCACGTTGTCCTTCAGAGCAAACTGGATACACAAATGTAGTGTATGGTCTCTGCTGTAGGACTAGCGTTGCCCTTTTGGGTCTGGTTGTTACTACAGTGCACAATGAAAACACATATTTTTCATTTGGCTGTGGGAGCCGCTGCCATGTTCCACTTTGATAGATCTAAGTACATTTTTCAAACTTGCCAAAGGAATGACTTGCAAGCGAGCGATTTTTGGACGTGAGAGTAATGAGTACAAATATCT